ATTCCAAGAGGACCAAATGGGGACTGAAAAAGAAGAAGGCACAGTAGGTGGACAGGTGGAGATCAAAGAACCAAGATCTACGAGAGCTGCCAATCCTAATTATAAAATATAATCATGGAAGAGAAAAAATTGATTACAATGAACATATATGGACTTAGCTGTTAAAAGGAGGAAAATTTTTCATAAATTAGAGAAATTAAAATTTAATATAATTTGTCTACAAGAAGTACATATTAAAAAACAGTATGAACAATTGTTGTTACAGTCAAAATTAGGGAAAATATTCACTTCTTTGACTCAATGTAAGAAAAGAGGAGTGGCTTTTTACATTAAAGAGACTATTCCAGCAAAATTGATTTATACTGATGAGGATGGAAGAGTATTAATGGTGGAAATAATGGACACTCCTGATTGCAATTTATGCTCCGAATGATAAACAAGAAGAATTCTACAAAAAATTACATTTGAAAATAATTGGATTGGACTATGTTAATATAGTTATGATGGGAGACTTTAATGGAATTGCAGACAATAAATTGGACTATACAGCAACAATAATAAAGCAAAATAGAAAAACTCTCCCTAAATCCTCTTTTAAAATGACAGATGAATTAAATTTAAAAGATATATGGAGAGAAAGAAATGCTAAAACTAAACAATATACTTTCTATTCAAATAGACACTTATCATGGTCCAGATTAGATATGATATGGATCTCAACAGAACTAATATCTAACATTCAAGAAATAAACATTGAAACAAGTACTTGGGCAGACCATAATCCAATGACAATTAAATGGAAAGGACAAAAAAAAAAAAGATCAAGATGCACGTTAAATAATACTCTTAAAGGAAAAAGACTTTGCACAATGGATGGAGAAAGAATTGGCCTTTTTTTTTTAGAGAAAATAAAAAAGAAGATACTTCAATACAGAATGTTTGGGACACAGTGAAGGCATATGCTAGAGGCTTGATAATAAATTATATAAGAAAAAAGAATATCAAGAAAAGGCAAGCCATTAAAGTTTTAGAAGATGAGCATAAAAGACTTGAAAAAGAACTATAGAAAATGCCACAGAAAAAATATATTAAATTAAAATTGGACATAATTAAACATAAAATGGGTCTAATCGAGAAAGAAGAATTGGCACAGAAAATTAGAAGTGCTAAACAGAACTATTTCGAAGATGAAAAAAAAAAACCAGGCAGATGGTTAGCATATAAATTGAGAAAGGAGAAAGAATCAAGGAAAATATTACAATTAATAAATGAACAAGGCCAAGTTTGCTATGGTAATAAAGAGAAAAAGGAAATTATTTGAGACTTCTACGGGCAACTGTATAAGCAAGAGAATATTGATGAGGAAAAAGTCAAACAGTATCTACAGAATGCTAATCTACCTAGGATACCTAAATGTTAGAAAGTAATATAACAATGATGGAATTAACTGAAGCACTTAAGAAGCAAAACAGTGGGAAAGCACCAGGTCCAGATGGGCTCCCGGCAGAATTTTATAAAACACTACAAGAATCATTGAGCATTCCATTGCTAGAAGTCATGAATGAAGCTATGTTAAAGAAGAGGATACCTAAAACATGGTTAGAAGCTTATATTACACTTATTCCAAAAGAAGAGGGTGATCCATTGCAAATCAAGAATTATAGACCTATTTCTTTACTAAATGCAGACTATAAAATTTTTGCTTCAATTTTGGCAGAAAGACTTTAAAAATACTTAAATAACTTTATTCATCCAGATCAAAATGGATTTTTACCAAAGAGACAAATCAAGGACAATATGAGAGTAATTTTGGACACTTTGGAATATTATGAGGCACATCCCGAAAAGCAAATGGCTTTGATATTTTTAGATGCCCAAAAGGCATTTGATAATGAGAATTGGAGATTTATGTTATTATTATTGGAACAGATGGGTTTTGCCAGAAAATTTATTCAAGCAATAGAAGCCATATACCATAAGCAAACGGCAAAAGTAGTGATAGAGGGAGAATTCACAGACTCTATTAATATAAGAAAAGGTACAAGACAAGGATGCCCGCTATCACCTTTGCTATTCGTATTGACTTTGGAAATGTTGAATAGAAATATTAGAGATGATAAAAGTATAAAGGAAATGAAAATTAAAAAGGGGGAATTTAAAGTGCAAGCCTTTGCGGATGATCTGGCTTTTATCTTGGAAGACCCTTTAGAAACAGCTCCAAAACTATTGGAAAAGATAGAGACATATGGTGAGGTGGCAGGTTTGAAAATAAACAAAGATAAAACAAAGATTTTGACAAAGAATATGCTGTTAAAACAAAGAGAAGAACTGGCAGACCTATTGAAAATTCAGGTTACGAATAAGGTCAAGTATTTGTGAATATATTTGACACCAAGATGTAGTACATTAAAAGAGAACAATTACATCAAACTTAAGCAACAGATAGCCTCAGACTTGATGAAATGGGAAAATTTACAATTGTCATTAATAGGGAGAATCTCAACAATCAAGATGAATATCCTACCCAGAATCTTATACTTATTTCAAACAATACCAATTAGGCTTGGAAAAGCCTATTTTGAAGATTTAAATAAAATTGTGTTGAAGTATATATGGTAAGGTAAAAAAGCAAGAATAAAGTTAAAACTTTTACAAGATGCCAGAGTTAGAGGAGGTTTTGGTTGCCTAATTGGGAACTGTACTACCAAGCTGCAAACTTGATGTGGGCCAAGGAATGGATAACACTAAGAAAGACTAGATTGTTGACATTAGAAAGACATTATTTGTTGTTGGGTTGGCATGCTTTTTTATGGTATAAGGGAACTAAAACACAGGGTTATTTTAGAAGACATCATATAAGGGAGTCCTTGTGGTTGAATTGGGAGAAGATTAAAAGACAACGTTATTTGAAAATTCCAGTTTGTTTATCGACCATTGAAGCATTTTCCTATCCTATAATTTATAAGAAGGAACAAACAGTTAGATATGGGGAAATACTGGATGAAAAGGGTGAACTTAAATCAATGCAAAACTTAGAGGAACAAGGTATAAAGATGAACTGGTTTTCATATGCGCAAATACATTCTAGGTATGATGAAGATTTTAAGACAGAAGGATTTTATGATAAATTGACTGATTTAGATAAGATTTTGACAGGTACTGATGAAAAGGTGATTAAAAAATTATATGGTTATTTATTGGAAATTAAATTAGAGGAAGAACAAGTTAAAGAAACCATGATTGCTTGGGGAAAGAATTTTGGATATGGGATTGATCTAGAGAAATGGCAAGAACTGTGGTCTCAAAATTATAAAATGACAATGTCAACAGCTTATAAAGAAAATTTGTGTAAGATGTTTTACAGGTGGCACCTTCCCCCGATAAGAATAGCAAGAATGTTCAAGAATAAATCTGAAAAATGCTGGAAATGTCATCATATACCTGGCTCATATTACCATATGTGGTGGACTTGTGAGGATGCTAGAAATTATTGGACTAAAATTCACATGTGATTGGAAAAAATGATAAAGAAACACATAGATTTGAAACCAGAGATTTTTTTATTGGGAATCTTACCCGATACATACAGTAAAGATTTGAAATAACTGATTGTAAATGTATTAACAGCGGCTAGGATTGTATTTGCTAAAAACTGGAAAAATGAGAAAATACCATTGCAGGAAGAAATTATTAAGAAAATATTGGAATGTGCTGAGATGAGTAGATTGACATTTGAAATTAGAGAACAAGAGGATAAACAATATTATGAAATTTGGGATCTTTTCTATCGATGGTTGGATGTTATGACTCCCCTTCAAAGTTCAAACGAACAAAACAGAAAGCAGCCGTTTCACAATTAAATCAAACAGAAAGAAGTCTTACAAGATAACGGCTGGCAGAAATCTCAATCCACAGCATAAATCTTTATTCTGTCTGGCAAACCAGTCCTGGCAATAAATCTCCAGTCTCAGAGCTTCTTGCTGTAACATCCTCACTCAATAAGTGTTCCTGGCAAATTGTACCAGCCCAGCTGTGTCCTTTTATACTCATTGAGGCAATGTGCTAATTTACTGACTCGCTCTCCTCCTTCGCTCCAGCTGATTTTGCCTTCTCAACCATCTTCTGTTCCTTACATTTAACCACAAATTTTCCAAGTTCTCATCTCCACTAGAAGACTCTCTCAAAACTTCCCTGTCAGCCATTCCCGGCTGTTGATCAGATAAGGAACCAGAGGAGGTCAAAGGTCCTGACAATTCTAATACATCAGGTCTGTCGTCCTTTGTCGCGTCCATTTCCTCATCCTGGTTACCAGTCCAATCACTGAGCCATGCCGGCTCATATTTTTCTGCCATGTCCTCCTCACTTGAACTCATCAGTCACAGGAGCTGAATCCAAGCCCGGAGCCACAACAGTTGGATGATAAAACATAATAAATAGATTATTTAGAATTTTAGATAATAATGAATATATAAAAAGACTTTTTTTCTTTTTTATTTGATATTATAATTATAAAATGTTTTTAGGATAGATTTGGTATGATTGTATGATTTGTTATTAAATAAACTAAGTAAATTATAGTTATCTCGTAAAGCATGAATAAATAAAATCATAGTCAAATGATTGTTTAATAGTGATACTAGGGTATATAATTTTCGATTGATAATATGAGTCATTATGTAATGTAATTGTAATTGAGACTACGAAATGGATGCACAAAAAAATTGGTAAACCATCGGACACACTGTTTGTACACTTATGGAAAAGTTGGATATTTTTAGGTTTTGTTTGTTTGTCTTTAAAAGCTAATAAAACTGTTTTCAAAAAAAAAAAAAGACTGGTAAGTTAGATGAGTAATGTCAGTGCTATTTTTGCTGTTAAGAAAAACAATTTAATATGCCACAATAATATTCATAGAATAATCACAAAACACAAGTAAAATTTTTGATATATGCACAAATGCATGTATGTTTATATATGATACCTGTGTATTTTAATTCCAGACATGGATGACTGTTCCAAATGTCCAGATGGTCAATATACAAATAAGAATCAAGATTCATGTCTTCCCAAGAGAATTTCTTTCTTATCCTTCGAAGAGCCAATGGGAATATGTCTAGTGAGTCTGGCAATGTTTTTTTTGCTCTGCACAGTTGTGGTTATGGCAACATTTTTGAAATATCACCATACTCCCATTGTCAAGGCTAATAACCGAAATCTCAGCTATGTTCTTCTCATCTCCCTCCTCCTCTGCTTCCTTTGCTCACTGCAGTTCCTTGTTGCACCAGGCAATATAATATGTCTCCTCCGACAAATTAGCTTTGGCATCATCTTCTCAGTGGCTGTGTCTTCTGTGTTGGCAAAAACTATCATTGTTGTCCTGGCTTTCATGGCCACCAAGCCAGGGTCCAGAATGAGGAACTGGGTGGGAAGAGGACTGGCTGCCTCCATTGTTCTTTCTGGCTCCCTGATTCAAACAGGCATCTGTGCAGTGTGGCTGTTCACATTTTCCCCTTTTCCTGACATTGACACTCATTCAGAAATTGAGGAAATCATACTTCAATGCAATGAAGGCTCATCTACCATGTTCTATTGTGTCCTGGGCTACATGGGCTTTCTGGCATCTGCCAGTTTCACGGTAGCATTTTTCTCAAGGAATCTCCCCAGCAGTTTTAATGAAGCCAAATGCCTCACATTTAGTATGCTGATCTTCTGCAGTGTGTGGATCTCTTTTGTTCCATCGTACCTGAGCACCAAAGGCAAATACATGGTGGCTGTGGAGGTTTTCTCCATTTTGGCTTCCAGTGCAGGTTTGCTTGTTTGCATCTATTTTCCCAAATGTTACATAATTATCTGTAGACCAGAGCTAAACAATAGGGAGCAGCTCATTAAAAGAAAAGGTTCATAAAATACAAACCAAACTTTCCTATAATGATTTCTCTATTTTAGAAGCATTTGTTTAAATCTCTAGTAAATTCAACACTGTATTTGAAAATGTTTAATTAATTTTCAATGTAGGAGTAAAACCCAGTCAAAATACCTCTCATTTAAGTAAAAATCTGAGATATTAAGAGGCCACAATTCTCTTTAAGCTTGCAAATTGGAATTTGAGGACCTATTGATTAGATTCATGCTATTGAAATAATTCAGACTTAATTTGAAAACATACACACAGAGAAAGAAAATAAGCACAAACTAACAAACTTTACAAATCTTTTCCATAGGAAAATATGAAAATGCCTACCTCTGCAACATTTTTTGAATGATGGGATTTTTTTTAAAGAAAAAAAGCAGAATAACCTCTAATAACTTCTAATACTAACCCCGACAGGTTCCACATCAAGAGCTTTTATACTAAGAAACATATCTGAAGCATTAACCAGTTATTCTAGGAATGATGGATTAGACATCACCAATTTGACTTGAATGAACTGTCATTGTATTCAATAGGTGTAGCATCCTACTAATCCATGTTTAAGTTTAACTTGAAATGATTTGGTGAGTTTTCTTTTTTTTTAGAAAAAACTTTATTGATTTTACTTTTTTAAAAACAACAACACAGCTACAAATTATATACAACAAAAAGACAAGCAGATCTTGGCATAGGCCAAGAGGGAAAGAGAGGAAGGCTTGAGAGAGGAAAGAGGGAAAGGTAAGGGAAGGGGGGGAAAGAGTAGGGAAAACAATTATAATAAAACCATATTTTTTGTGACTGTCTGTAAGGTCCTTTCTTCTTCAGAACTATCGTCGGCGGTGCTTTTCTTTATCTCTGCTTTGGAGGCCCTCAGCCTTAATTTTCCTAGAGGTGATCTATCTTTGGTTTAGCCAATTATACAAAGGATTCCAATTGCTATAATAGGTTGAGGGTTCTTTATTTTTTAATGCTTGGGTTAGTTTGTCCATTTCGGCACATTGTAAAATTTTCTGAATAACCATAAGTTCAGTGGGGATAGAGGGTAGTTTCCAGCATTGGGCAAATGCCAGTCTGGCCGCGGTTAAGATATGGATTGTAATATACTTCGATTTTTTGGATATTTGTTTATCAAAAATTCCTAGAAGGAAGGACTCTGGTTTGTACTCAGTTTGTTCCTTGGTTATTTCCTCTAGCCAGTGCCTAATTTTTTGCCAGTACTTCTGGGTTTCCTTGCATGACCACCACATGTGGAAGAAGGTACCTTCTATGTTTTGACATTTCCAACATTTGGGGCTCGTGTTGGGGTGCATCTTCGCCAATCTCGAAGGGGGCAGGTGCCATCTATAAAACATTTTATATGAGTTTTCTTTATAAGCTGCTGATTTCGTGATCTTAATGTTCCTGTTCCAGATCTTTTCCCATTCTGCTAGGGTAATGCTCCGACCCACGTTTCTGCTCCATGCAATCATATTTCCTTTGACAATTTCTTGTTCTAGTTCTGTTTCTAATAAATGTTTGTAAAATTTAGATATATTTTTTTTACTCGGTCCTAATAGAATTTTGTCTAAAGTCTGTAATTTATTGTAGATTCCAAATTCCTTAATGTCTTATTTGTATCTACTATGAATTTGAAGGTACACCCACTGATCAATTATAAATCCTTGCTCTTGTAATTCTTGTCATGTTTTCAGCTTTCCTTGTGGGTCTAATAAATTTTCGTACTTAATCATTTTGGTTATGTCCAAATTATTAGGGTGTACTATTGCTTCCATTGGAGATAGCCAAATCGGTATTTTTAGATAAAGTTTTTTACGTACTTTTTTCCAATTAGTTAATAAAGAGTCCCTGATAAGATGCCTATGGAAATATGATTGCCTGGGTTTCCCAGTTTCCCACAGAAAGGCATGCCATCCTTTCTGCATATCGTGGCCTTCTAATACTAGTGTTCTTTTGTTGGTTAGATTCACCCAATCCTTTATCCATAGTAGGGTGGCTGCCGTATGATATATTTCCCAGTTTGGCAGGGCTAACCCACCTCTGCTTTTCGCATCTTGTAGGGCTTTTATGTTAATTCTAGCTTTTTTCCCCTGCCAAATAAATTTCAACGTTATCTTGTTTAGTTCCATAAAAAGTTTTTTATTTAATTTGATTGGAATTGTCTGGAATAAATATAGAAATTTTGGCAGAATATTCATCTTAATCAAAGCAATCCTGCCCAATAAGGAAAGTTGTAATTTACTCCAGGAATCTAAGTCTTTCTTGGATTGTTGGAGAAGTTTGTCATAGTTGTTTTCTTTTAACGATTTGCTTTGTGGAGTTAGCCAAATTCCTAAGTATTTAATTTTTTTTGTCACCTGTATTCCCATTGTTGTCTCTAGCTCTTTATTCTGGTCTCCTGTTAAATTTTTAGTCATTAATTTCGTTTTTCCTCTGTTTATTTTAAATCCTGCGACTTCTCCAAATCGTTCTAGTTCTTCTAATAAGTTGTGTCCTTTTTCTATGGGCTCCTCCAGAAAAAAAACCAAATCATCAGTGAAAGCTTGTACTTTATACTCTTCTGATTTGATCCTCAGTCCTCTAATTCTCAAATTTTGCCTAATGTACATCAGAAGAGATTCTAGGGCGAATATGAAAAGCAGAGGGGAGAGAGGGCAACCCTGTCTTACCCCTTTTTCTATTTTTATCGGGCCAGTTTGTTCCCCATTTATTAGAATATTTGCCTGTTGAGTGTGGTAAATTGTAGTGACGACGTTTTTGAATCTGGTGCCGGGGTTCATATTATATATTTTTTGAATTAAGAAATGCCAATTTAAATTGTCGAATGCTTTTTCAGCATCCAAAAACATAAATGCAAATTGTTTTTCCGGATGGGCTTCATAGTATTCTGAAATGTCTATCACTGTTCTTAAATTATTCTTAATTTGTCGAAATGGGAGAAATCCATTTTGATCTTCATGGATATAAGTGTTTAAAACCTGTTTTAATCTATTGGCTATTATAGAAGAGAATAATTTGTAATCTGCATTCAGGAGCGAAATTGGTCTATAATTATTAATAAGTCTGTGGTCTAGGTCCTCCTTCGGGATCAGCGAAATTAAGGCTCCCCTCCACGAGTCCGGCATCTTGGCTGCTAAGAGTACCTCATTAAATACTTCCAGCATCAGTGGTCCAATTTGTTCTATGATTGTTTTGTAAAGTTCTACCGGTATCCCGTCCGGTCCTGGTGCTTTATTGTTACTTTGCTTCTCTATTGCTGACTTCAGTTCGGACCATGTTATATTTTGGTTTAATAATTCTATCTCTTCCTCTCCAATTACTTTATCATTCGCTTCCTCCAGGTATTTCATTATTTTATCCTCACAGACTTCTTCTTTTTTGTATAATTTCCCGAAGTATTTAAAAGTGATCTCTTTTTTCTTCTCTATCTCCTCTTGCATATTGCCCCCCTCGTCCATTAATTGGTGTATCAATCTTTTTTCTTTCGTTTTCTTAAGTTTGTGGGCTAACCATCTCCCTGGCTTGTTTGCATGCTCAAAGTAGATTTGTTTAGTCATTTTCGGACTAATCTCCAATTTTTCTTGTTCCAGTAAATTTAGTTTGTGTTTAGTTGTTGTTAACTGGTTCTGTATTCTTTGGTTTTTGGGTTCTTTTGTAGTTGGGTTTCTAAATCCTTAATTTCTTGTTGTAGGTTACTTTGTTGGGCATACTTTCTCTTATTTCTCATAGCATTGTAAGAGATTGTTATTCCTCTTATAAATGCCTTTAATGTGTCCCATATATTTTGTTTTGAAATTAGATCATTATTATTTTCCTTTAAGAGGAAGTTCACGGTTGTCGGCTTTGCTAACAGCAGGGATTCGCCTTCTCTGCGATTCCTGCTGTGCTAGCCGCCTTGGTGCCTCCGATCCTGACGGATTTGGAGGCTAAGGCTGCCCTTTGGGGCAGCTGAAGAGAGGGGGGATCCGGACGGGGGTGAGGAGCATCGCAAACCCCCCCCCCAGCCGGCAATAACCCCCTTTTCTCAAGACGGTTCCAGCGGTGGTCTTTTATGGCCACCATAAAGAAGCCGGCAATTGGATAATAAAGAATGCGCAGGAGGGAGAAGGAGTTTTCTTTTTTTTTTTTAAAGAAAGTTTTTTCTTGGTCGAACTGGGACCTTAAGGATATATTTAACACCTGGGAAAGTAATGACTTGGAAGCTATTGTTCCCGATTGATGTTTTTAGCTGCGAAGAAAAGTGACGAACAGGGGAAGTTACTCTCCCTCCCTTATGGAATTAACAAATGGACAAGGAAAATCAGCCTTTTGGTAGAAGGTAAAACCTAAACTCCTTTGTTATACGTGGGAAGGGAGAGGCTTGCGAAAATCAATTTTTACTCTAAGACTTTGCTGGAGGAGATGCCTTGAAGATAAAGAGAATTTTCTTTCCCTAATTTGACTTCACCCCTAGAAGAGAAACTGTAAAAAGAAGAAGCTTTTACTCTGCCTGGACTGTCTGATGACTGTGGGACTTTGGGACGTTTGGGAACTGTTTTAAGCCTCGAAATAACTGATTGGTTTAAGAAGAGGATACAGAAAAAGAAGAAGAAACTTTAAAATGGCTCTATCTCTTGATGAACTAAAAAAACAATATCTAAAAACAAAGAAAGAAGGCAAAGATGTTATGGGAGAAGCCCTTTGTTTCCTAGATATGGCGCTTGCTATGTGTCAGCAAATTAAACAACAGCTTGAAGAAATTGAGGAAGAAGAAGCCATTTTTAATGAACTAAACGGCGTGACTAAGAAAGAAAGGAGAAAGAGAGGAGCGAAAAGGAAGGACTTAAGAAATAAAAAAATATTTATGAAAGAGAAAAAGAAGATGCAAAAACAACAGAATGCTAGAAAGCAAAAGGAAAGAGGAATGCAGAAAGGGGAAATTAAGAAGACAGAGGTTTTGAGAGGAGGGGGTAAAAAGTTTAGGCGGGCTAAGAAGGAAAGGGAAAAGGGGGAAAAAA